TTTCAGTTTGCAAAGACATTTGTAAATCTGTAGCTGCTTTCTGGTGGGGCAAGAATGAGAAAGGAAGGGGGTGGGGGATAAAATTCATTGGTCTTCTTGGGAAAGCCTAACTAGACCTAAGACTGGAGGGGGTCGGGGGTTTAGAAAGTTAGTAGCCTTCAATGAAGCTCTACTTGTTAAGAAGCTTTGGAGAATTATCACACAACCAAACCTTTTCCTTAGCAAGATCATAAAGGGTAGATATTTTTTTTAAGGTTAGTTTATGTGAGGCTAGGAAAAGGGATGGGGACTCTTGGCTTTGGAAGAGATTTTTAAGGGTTAGAGGCTCTTCAAGGAGGGGTATTAGATATCAAGTAGGTGATGGTTCCTCAATCAATATTTGGGACTCACCTTGGATTCCCAACTTAGCTTCTTTTAGACTATCTTGCCATTCTGAGCGGGATAGAGTGAGGCTGGAAAACATGAGTGATGTCATTAGGGATAAGGGGGTAGAGATGGGACAAAGACCTGATTGAAAAGACTTTTAGACCTTTTGAAGCTAAGTCCATTATGAAAATCCACCTAAGCCAGTTGAGGAACAAGGATAGGATAGTTTGGCACTTTAATTCCAATTGTACTTTTTCTGTCAAATCAAGTTATGACAACATCTTAGGGCACTTAACATGTTGTCAAAACAGAGGCTAGTACCAGCTTAAAATGTGGTGAACAAAGAACTTGACAACTTCCTATCAAAGATGAAAACTTTATGTGGAAAATATATCATGGCTTTCTGAGCACAAAAATCCAACTAAGAAGAAGAGGAATTGAAGTGGATACAATGTGCAGTCGGTGTGGAGCAGAACCTGAAGATGTTGATCATCTATTCTATAAGTGTGATAAAGTAGGTACAAGTTGAAAATTGCTTGGGGTGGAATGGAACTCTTTTCAAGTTAGACAGCGAAGTGTGAAAGAGTGGTGGGAGGAGGTTTCTGGTAGTTTGAGGTTTAAGAGGCTGCAAGAGAGAATTTCTCTGTCATTATGACTTTTTTGGTGAATGTGGAAGATCAAAAACAACCTTTCAGAGGGGAAAATTTTCAAGAAGTGTAGTGTAAGGGGCTAGAAGTGACTAGGCTGAGTTAGGTGATATTGTTTGAAAAACTTCCAAGTCTTTGGCTCAGATTGTCGAGGTAACTGATACCTTAGAAGGAAAGTTTTCCAAGGAAGTAGGGCTTGTTTCAGTTCAAGTCAGTGCTTTTCTTTCTCCTAATGGTGCAACTAGCTTCAGTGGAAGGGCTTTGCTAGAGGACAGAGAGTTGCACGTTGGGCAGGATTCTTGGGACTGGGCTGCAAATCAGAATGAGGGAAGTCTTCTAGGAGTGAGATGGACATTAATGGAAGCTTCCAAATCTGGCTAGAAGGAATATGAGTGCAGTATGGCTGACCAGAATAGTGCAAAAGTTGCAGTCTTCTTTTTCATTTTCTTATTCTTTGCTTTCTGTGTGCAATGATATTGCAAACTTAAATGATGTTTTTTTATGTGTGTTTGTTTTCTAAATGATGTTTTTTTATGTGTGTTTGTTTTCTTGGTCTGTCTACTCTTGTGTGTATCTTTGTTAGCCATGATGGCTTTAAGGGGGAATGGTTGTTTGTTGCCCCCTTTTGTTTAATCAGTTGGTTAACCGTTTATACATTCTTGAAGTTGACTTAAAATTTATGTGTTTCAGGTAAAAAAAATATGTTTGTTTAGTTCTTTTTTTAATAATGTAAGCTTGCTACCTTTATTTTTTGTTGCCATTTGGATTTTTGTTTATTTTTAAAAGATTTCGAAATCTTTATGTTTCATATGGGTTATAAGATATTGTATATTAGGTTAAAACAAATAGGAAAAATGTATGTTAAGGATGGATTAAACTATGTTTGCTAGTTTTTATTTTTATTTTTATTTCTTTTGACATTTTTTTTTACCACAATGTTCAGCTTAATGAATGTTTATAGGAGGAATCTTAACCTTTATTATTCATGACTAGATAATGATGTAGAATATTAGTATCTTTCGATTTTTAGTTGCAGGCAAAAATGGAATAACAATTACAAAAAAAA